TAAGACATAGTACCGCAAGGATCATAAATGGCTCCTGCGTGGAACCCTTTTGCCGGAGTTCCTTTAACATTGGTTCAATGAGGCAGGCTCCCTCCTGTCATTCTACCTCCATGCAATATATAGACAAGAAACTGAGTGTAGCAGTGGAAGAATACGCTACATGAAGCTCAGAACCGGTTTCCGTAAAGGTAGAAGCATACACATCATATATTCACCGTAAAAATTAATTTAAAAGATTAAGCAGTAAAACCTAATGGTTTCTCTGGCATTTATGGGTTAAAAGAGGCGCTTGGTAAAGTACCTACCGAGGAGCAAAATATGAGAAACTTTGCATAAAGAAGACGCAAAAGATAAAACACTTAGGAATATAAAGATCTTGCACAACCTCAAACAGAGTATGGAAATCTGGAACGCAATTTTAAAAATCTGTGGAATGGTAATGAACAAGATGAAAAACAAAGTAATGAGAGCAGGTGACAAATAAAATATATACAGCGAAATCGATGGAATGAAACTAGAACAAGTCGATAATTTCAATATGTAGGCGTCAAAAATTGAGAAAACAGAAAGTAGAAATTAATAATAGTAGAAATTAATAATATACTCCTAACTGATAATTATACAATGCATAAAGGCTTTGTTGGGAAAAAGGTATACGAAAAACGAAAATGATAGTTTACAGAACAATTCTAAGTTTTGTTTGAGAGTCATCGGGCAGGTCAAACATACAAAGATACAAATGAAGTATGTAAGAAGTGTCAGAGTCGTTACAAGAGGAAGGGAGATGATAAGAAACACTCAAATACTAATGGACTTCACTGAATAAAAACAACTAAACTGGCGAGCCTATCTTTAACGTATGGAAAACACGAGACAAGTCAAGACAATAGGAAAAGTAAAAACGTATAAGAATAAGAAGTAAAAGAGAGGAAGGCTTAAAAAGTCCTGGCACAAAATAATCGCTGAAGTGCTGGGTAAAAACAAGGATGCATTTGGACGGAATCTAGAGGAAGGCACACAATTAACAAAAATTGGCCAACTTGGTATACTTAGAAGGACATAACTTTTTGTTATGCATGCAATGCTGTTGAAATTGTTTACAAATGAACAACAGATACCTTTAGAAAAGGAAAACACGTTAAAGGTCACATATATTCATGAGTCATGAATAGTTATGATTGTTTCTTGCAAATAATATTAAGGTGAAAGTTCGCTTATTGGATTCAAAGTATATAATATTTTTAATGGAATGCGTGAATTGCCTTACTCCGGATTTTTCTCAGTTAGGAAACAATGCCCAAAGTAGCAATTATAAAACAACTGAAATAGAAGCAGTTACAATAAGCCCTGAGAATTGGATTGGCGGAAGCGTGACCCAACAAAAAAGTTGTTTTGTAAATTATTTATAAATAAATATTTTGACTCTTTGAGCTGTGTAATTAATGCTCAATAAAGCACCATATAACATTACTCCAGATAATGATGAAGGGACTACAGTTGCCTATTTGCCCTTGTTGTCGCGAAAGGTAAAAATATGAGGAGGACAAAAAATAAACGAGCCATTAAATTTCTCTTGGCACAATGCGGAAGCGTTTGTTGTTCTTCGAAATATTTCGCCATGTGTTCACATGGTATAGGAAGAAACAGCCCACTAGCATCGATGTAATTTTTTAAAAGATAATCACAGAATCCCCAAATATCGTCTGGTCCACGGTCCACCTCATATTAGATCCTCGTTGAAGCCATCGTCAATTTATATGTACATTTTACGTAGGTATAGATAGAGCAATATTACTGTAAGAATGGCATCTCAATAAAACTACGCATTCCTCAATTTATTATTTGAGTTCATTTCTATGTTCATTCGTGTTTACGTAACCGAAATGCCCCATAACGACGTCACACAACACTAAATTTTCAAGTGGAGAGTAATTCTTATTCGGGTAGTGAGTGCAATTCGGACATTTTCGGAGCGGTAGGAAAACTCTTTTTACGTCATGCGCATAATTCGGACTTCCCCCGAACGAAGTAGTGTCAATTTTAAATTCTTTAGACAAATTGTTCGCAATGTTTTTTTGTAGGGGATGAATAAACAATAGTTGTTTATGTTACAAGTGTTGAAAACATAAACATTACGAACGGAAATATGTATGTAAGTGAGTAATGCAATGGAGTTTTCACACGAGTAACATACAATAAGTATTTTTTTCCAATTTCTACTAATAAAATGCTCATTTTGTATGTTAAATCTTGCTATTAAAACAATAGTTTAATTGAAAGGATAAAATGTTCATAGCAACACTTTATTTGTACTGTCATTGACAACACGAATAAAGTAAAAAAACTAAAAATTCGCACTACCACTGAAATTTTCGTTGCTGTGGATGTGTAAACATATTCAATTAAAATTTGCAACGCTTGATGGTCCACCTCCTGTAAAACAATCCTAATGAACGGCCAGGAACATCCTTTGAATTGACCGTGACTCAAACATATTATCACACTCGGCTTCGCCTCGTGTGCTAAACTATTTTTTCATTGAATAAAATTCGTTTTTATTCACTTATACCATAAATAGCTATTTGCGCTGCTTTTTTCAAAAAATAAAATTTTTAATCGTTAAAAGAATAAATACCAATCTGTCAATTTGTTAGGGCTCAATTTTGAAATTCAAGGTTGAATTTAAGAAATGGAACTTCCTGCACATATCCAAAAAATGAAGCAACTGCAAATTTGTACCTGCAAAATCCGTAGGTCGATATGAAGTGGAATACCAAAAATAATTTATAAATTGGTGCGAAAAAATGAAATAGGTACGCGAAATTTCAGAGACGACGCTCTTGGTTTATTTCCAAATTAAATCGGAATCGGAAATGATTAAAGACTCCACACTGTGGACAATGTATTCCATTCTAAAAAATAAGTACATAATGTGGTTTAGTTACCTGCAGACATTTACTTTTTACTTTCTTTTTGTACAATTCAATAAATACGTTTTTTCGCAATAGAATTATCTTGTTGTTATTATGATTGTACGAATATTCTGAATAACATCACTAAATAAAGTTTAAACGATTTTTTTTAATTAACGAGAACTACTAAGGTCCAGTATTTCAGTTGTTGGTTAAGCCAAGAAATTATACTTTTAACCAAAAAAAGCGAGGTAGGTTAACAATTATTTTATTGTTAGCACATGCGTTTTAAGCACCTGACTAGTTGTGACGCAATTATGACGCACGCATTCGATGATAAACCCCCATAGAAAATCCTAGTGAGGATATTCTATGTAAACTCCTGTTACCTATTCTGTGGATGTCGCACGTGATCGGTTATGCCTACTTAAGAAAAATGTTGGTTAGATATCCAAGACTGTGACCAAGATATACTTAACCAAAGTTTTGCTAGTGAAATACCGGTTCTTGGTTAAAGTTTTGGTAAAAGCATGGTTACGATTTGTTAACTATGATTTTAACCAACAACTGAAATACCGGGCCTAACAAACAATAAGTGTCAAATTGCTACCAACCCAAATTTTGATCAACAAATACCCTAATTTAATTTATTATACTTTGTAAATAGATTCGACTTATTTTTTCAGGGTTTTTCAATTATTTTTTTCACTAGCAGCCATAAAGCATGCAAGTGTCGACGTATTTAGAGGTAGCAAAGTTCAACTTTTGCGACCAAGGTTCAAAAAGAAGATTGGGGTTATGTACGAAATACTTGATGTGATTATTTCTTAAAAAATAAATAATTTTGTGCTACTAACATTACATGAGTATACGGATGGTAGTTGGTAGACGATGGAAGATAAAATGGTTAATTCGGCGACAAGTGTAAACGGTTTTCTTTGTGTTGAAGATTTAGATTAAGTTTGATTAGATATCAAAAAAAAAATCATGTTGCGTCAAAAATTTGAACGTTTATTTTTTCAATTTATTGTCTTATGGTTTCTACTAGTGAAAAAAATAGTATATTAACCACATCTTAGAGCCCACGCGCAGCTCGGGTTCTAATTTGGCTAATAATATGCTATTATTTAGTTTGTTTAATGGTGCTAGCTATAAGACTAATGGTGCTAGTTGGTGCTAGCTCTAAAGTATTAGGCGCTAGCTTTTCATTGTCTTTAAATTATATTGGGGGGATAGCGTTAACTTAGCTCCCTCCCCGAAAATAACCCTTTATTACATGGCTTTGTTGAATAAAAACACACTTTTTTAATGGATTCAGCGAGTGCTAGCTCTAGACTATCAACCTACTGATTTTTACCATAATAGTGTGTAATTTGTGTTTCAATTTTTTTTTTAATATTTGTAGAGTGGTGCTAGCTATGAGACTAATGGTGCTAGCTGGTGCTAGGTCTAAACTACCTCGGACTAATTTTTCATGAGAATTAACACCGCTGCGTGCAGAATTCCATGCCATACCGAAAGTTTAGTTTTCACCGTATTTAACGGAATGATTTTCGAAATTGAAGCATTGATGCTTGCCCTTGTTAAATTACTAAATCTCGATGATCCTGAGACGTTATTTTCGCACATTTTTACACAAATTACACAATGGCGACAGCTTGTTGAATTGGTTACTTGGAAAGAAAATTTGTCGCTAAAAAACTATGTTGCTTGCTTTATTCTCGCATCTCATTGTTAGGGTACTCTCGGTAAAATTTGAATTTTGATATTTTGCCGATGGGAAACCAAATTTTGCTTGAAATTGTGTATTCTGAATGGACAAAAATACTATGAATGAAATAGTCATTTGTATTTTCATTCATTTTGGGTTTATCATGGAAAGTGTCATACATGTCCAAAATACTAGCCACTTAAAAATACGTCGTTCTTATCATTATGACGTGAAATCGAAAATCAAAATTATCTCTTCGATTTAATTATAAAATGTAATATTTATTGTCAACAATCGCCAAAGAAAAACGAATTCATGCAAAAGGGGTGCTGATCAAAATAATTTTCGATTGGACAATGTTAGTATTTTTTTTATAGGGAAGGCAATCATCCAGATGACTACAGTCGCTTAACTTACAGAAAATTGTTGGAAGAAGTTTGCAAATTTGCAAACGTATTGCGAAGTAAAGGAGTTAAAAAAGGAGACAGGGTGGCAGTCTATATGCCTATGATATTAGAAGCTGTCGTTACATTACTAGGATGTGCTCGTATCGGAGCAGTACACTCGCTTGTGGTAATTTTCTTATTAAACCATCCATTATCAGTAGAAACATATTTTATCCAACACTTTGTACTAATTTTGATTTAACTATATATTAAGATTTTAAACAAGTTAACTTGATACAGTGGAAACACCACATTGATAAATCGCTTAAAAACTGATTGAAGGTGTAATATTTAATATGTGTAATAAAGTAGAATGTTTATACGGAATTTAAATGATAAAAAGAATCAAAGCAATATACAGTGTATATTTTTTAAAAATGGCCATAGGGATTCCCATGTTAAATTTTATACCCCATGTTAACTTTTGTTAGGGTGAAAACCCGGAGATGATTTTTGCGGAGAAAATAGCTTTAGGGTTCTACTTTAATTTCTACTACAATTTTTTGCAATAATTTGTTAATTTGTGCTTTAAAAAATTAAAATTATTTTGATTAAAAAGTTTTGGTACATCATAGAAAGTTTTGACCTATCATTTTAACTTGTCATTTTTGACGGCATAATTTTAATTTAATCATTAAATACCTATATTGCAGTTTTTAGAAAAGAAACAGAATGTTTGAATTCAAATATAAATGAAGAAAATAAAAGACAATTTCACTGAAATTGCGTTTTTAATGACCACGATTGAAAAAACCTGTGTTCATAACTCTGCCATAAAATTTTCAAAATGTGCTTTTGCAAGGTATGGAACGATGTGGGAATGATGCAGCAAAATTTTGCGCTGTTTCTCTGTTGTTGATAAGGCTTTAATGTATCCATCAGTGACCATTTGTACTTTTTCTTTAATTGTGTACTACGGCATGTTGACGACTTTTGGTCATTAAAAACCAGTAATCGAACGAGTAATCAACGTTTAGAAACATCAGGTAAATATCTATTTTTACATGGCTGTCTACAATATTACCGACAAAGATATTTTAATTTTTTTAAAGAAATATCCTTTAATTTAATTTTAAATTTATGACCTTTAATAAAATCAACGAAAGATAACCCAAATTACATCCAGTAAAAACTTCAAGTCTGAATTTTTACTCAAACATAAGTTAACATGCGGTATAAAATTTAATATGAGAATCCCTATGGCCACTTTTAAAAAAGATGCACTGTATAAATAAGATTAAATTAAAAGTGAATACGTTTAGCATATAAGAATCGATTCAATTAAGACCAAACCGCTGCAAATTTGATTTATGTTTATTTATTAATTTGTTAAGAAGAAATTAAGTTTTCAAAGGATGTGACATCACTAATATTTTTTCAGTTTATTGCTATCTGATGATAACACAGTTGTCTTTTAAAGAGCTTTGGCGGTATCCAATTTGTTGCCCAGTTGTATCTTTGCGCCACACTGGAAGACATTCAGCCATCACTAGTCACGCTTGTCAAATTCTTGATTTTTTTTTCACATTTCAACTTTAATTTCACAGGCAGTCAATTAGACGTCGGAGTTTTTGCTCCTAAATTTCTTGTCCAATTTTTAGATTAGTCGTGAGTATTTTGTACGAAAAACCCGTAAGAAATCAGAAACTCATGAAAAAGTGTTGGATAAAACGTTAGCTAACTACATATATGAATAGCACATGTCAGTCATCAAAAGTGTTCTCATGCAACAAATTAGTTATAGTCAATTAAAGGGATCCAACTAGTTTTTTTCAAAAAGATACGTCAATATTTCATAGATTTTTTAACTAGGTAATATCTTTATTGTTAGACGAAAAATATAATTTTTACCATCAGTTTGCAGGATTTTCGTCGGATTCGTTTGCTGAAAGAATTCTGGATTGTGAAGCCTGCGTAGTAGTTACTGCAGATGGAGTCTGGAGAGGAGAAAAATTACTATCTCTTAAGAATATCTGCGATCAGGCAATGAACAAATGCGCACAAAAGGGTTACAATGTGAAAACTTGCATAGTGGTGTCTCACTTAGGGCGCGTAACGTCCCCAACAGGAGTTCAAAGAAACAGAAGTAATAAAGTAAGCTTATTAATTTATGTTATTCATACTTATTAATTATTCACTGATTTTGTAACACGGTTGTCATACTGGAGTCCCTGTTAAGAATACCAAGATATCGTAAAATTTTGTTGAATTTTGATATTTTTCATTTTTAAATTACATTTTTCTGTTACTTGTGACATCATATTTTAAAATCTATTTCAAGTTTTGTCTTAGTTTTTTTACGGTAGTACACATAGACAGTAGTGATTCTAACAATGCAATTGTGATGTTATTTATGTCTTGAATTTAAATTAAACCTTTCATCATTATCTGCACCAAACTTTTGACGACATTTTAAGTAAACGAGTTTCTTTTTATTAGCGAAAATTCTGAAACTAATCTGTGACAAGGTTGTAGTTGATAGTTGATAATATTCAAAAAGATAAGACAATCGATAAAACATAGGAGTATTTTTTTTTAATTAAGTATTTCAATCAGTTATTTTTATTATAGGTACCTAGAATATAGTTTTTGCGGACGAATCGTTGCTGTCTACAGACGAAGCATAGTCGAGTCCGGAATAGCAGATGAGTCCGCAAAAACTTTTTAAGGTTCGTGTTACAAACAACATTTTTTAGTTAAAGCTCCCACAAACACCAACGATTAGTCTGCAAAATTTTAAGGTATTAGTAGGTACTAGTCCAAAAAACAAGTATTTTTTGGATTAAGTACGAAAAATACTCATTTTACCGACTAAATGAGTCATGAGTCCATAAAACAGCCATTTTAGGGGCCATATAATAAAAAATAATTTTTTAAAGAAAAAATATTTGATAATGTCTTGTCTTTGGCGTAAATTTTTTTTAATTCGAACGACAGCTCGCACACGACCTTATTTAACAATTATGATTTTGTAATATATTATAGGGTTACTCACGAGAAAATTACTTCTGAAAATTATTTTTTCCGGAAATCGTCATAGAAACAACATTATACGTATCTACGCACAGGAAAATTCAATTTTCCGGACTAGTACTGTAAAGACTTTTATTTGTTCCTCACTTGTAAACATTAATTTACCAAGTCACTGTATTCAACATGAAAATGTCAGTTAACTGGCTATAGCCAGTAAAATTTTTACAGCCCTGCTCGTGCTCATACAGCCATATATTTTAAACTATTATGAGTTGAAATGACAGCCAATTGATTCAGGCAAATTTTCACTCACAATTGCTGCTTCCTCAGTAATATAGCTTACGCCACACTAATTGCAATACATCGAAAACGATAAATCGAAAAGTTTAAATGACAGAACTAGACAACACAATAAGTGTATGATAAGTGGCATGCTGACGTGCGTTTCCAAGGCAATACGTCTAAAGCTCATACGATGTTTCTTCAAATATCGGACCTTCTAGAGTTTGTAATAGTTTATAATAGTTATTTACAAGTGAGAAACAAATAAAATATTGAAAAATACATGCAAGGTAACGGGTTTTTACTGGCTCCAGAAGGTGACTGGCTCGCCTGCGGCTCGCCAGTCATATCTTTCTGTCCGCCAGTAAAAACCCTTTTACCATGCTAGTAATGTTAAATACTATACAAGACGCAAAATAAAAAACTTTAAAAAAGAACGATTTATTCAAAACTATTAATTAGAAATATTAATGTGTATTGTGGAACTTGTTGTGTTTGAAATATTGATTCCGGATAGTGAGCTTCAAATTTTCAGTAAAAGTCCCAGTCGAAATTTTAACATAGAACACATGCTCCAAAGACTTGAGGGTTTCTGCAAACTTGTTTTTTCCGCAAAATACGTAAGAAATACTTCTTCGGTAAGTGAAGTGACTTTTTTTCTCGTCGTCAATCTTCGAAAATTTGGAAAGCCCTTTCACACCAATCTTACACGGTAATAGATCGTTAGTAGCAGCAGCCGCAGCTTCACTCACATCAAATAGAATGCCCTCACAATGATTTTCGTTTTCTTTCATCATTATTTTATGAATTAACATTGTTTTCACCACACACTTACAAAATTGATGACATTTTTTCGATGTTGTTTACTTTGTAACTATAGTTGTCAACATAATTCATAAACTTGATTTTTATGGAATTTGTCAAAAATTTTTCTAAAATTTGTACATTTCGTCTTTTGTTAACGATTTCCGGAAAAATTTAATACAAAACACGTCACACACACGTTAATACTTGATTGCTTTGATTTGGTTTCAATATTTTAATACAGAGAATGCAGATTGATGTTTTTCTCGTTTTGCGTAAGAACTGCAAAAAGTAGTGTATATTATCACCCTTTTTTTCAATGATAGATATTATCTCTGGCTTTCTCGTTGGCTAACGTTCATGATTGTGATTCATAACAATGAAGCTATGTGCATTTATACTGGTTTTTATATTTTTATATGAACATTTTTAAATTTTTTTTACAGACACCGATGCAAGAAAATCGTGATATCTGGTGGCATGAAAGTGTTTCTAAAGCTTCAACTGATTGTCCTCCCGAATGGGTGCATGCGGAAGATCCGCTATTTATGCTATATACCAGTGGATCTACTGGCAAGCCCAAAGGAGTTGTTCATACAACTGCAGGGTATTTACTTTATGCCGCTACAACTTTTAAATATGTGTTTGATTATAAACCAAATGATGTTTACTGGTGCACAGCAGACATCGGTTGGATTACTGGGCATACTTATGTAGTATATGGACCATTAGCGAATGCTGCCACCTCAGTATTGGTAAGAATCAATATTTAATAAGATCTAATTATTTACATACATACACATGTCGATTAAATGGTGGATTAAGACACCAAGTGTTTCAATTTTTCCAAGATAATCCAATGATAACCAATGTATTGATGAGACGTAATTGTTTAACAGACTATGTTTCATTGGTAAACAATCATGGACATTTCGTGAAAGCCAAATTTAAGGTTCTCTGTTTATGTTAAAATATAGGTTTGCAAGCATTTTTGTGAAAGTGAACAGAATTTGTCATTTTCTATGAAGTCCGTTATATATGTACAATATTTCCCGAGCGTAAGCTGAGGAAATATTGTAATCGAGTCCATGGGTCGACTGGCGGCTTTCAAATTTTCTCGATGGGTAATGACCCTTTGAGTACGGAATGGGTTTCCCGTTTCCGTTTGTCTGTCGGTCTGTCCGCCGTCCGTGATGATTTTTTTTGGATAGATAATCTCCGAAACTACTGGACCAATTGTTGTCAAATTTTATATGTGTATTATATATATATATCATGTAGACGCTAAAACGCTAACCAAACTTTGTAAAGTCGCCCTCAGTAATAATGTGATGACGTTACCTCAAAACTGTACATAGTAAATGGGTTTTAAATTGTATAGAATGACATAATCCTACACGTGTAGTTTATGAGTGCTGAGTTTTTACTCGAAACGTCTACATTTTTGTCAACATTATGTAACAACATTTTACATTTTGAATTTGCAAAACCGAATGCTTTGAAATATTGCAGATGATTTAAAGTTATCATAAGCATGGTAAATTTTTAATCCAAATATATTTGCTTATACCTCCAAAAATGGATAACGTCACCGCAAAATTTTGTCAAATAAATGCCATCTAAAATGTCCAATATGTAATAAGACTATACTTGTAGTTTATTATTCCATTCATATTTTTAGATTTACTTATACAGGGTGACTCAAAAAAATTATGAATAAGTCAATTTATTTTATTGATTAACTCAGGAACGGCTCACTCCATTTTCCCAGAAAATTTGAGAATACGGTACTGTTATTATTAGTATTACACTGCACCAGTATTACTAAGTTGATACACGTGTCTTTGCAAAAAGGTTGACGTCATCACAAAATTTTGTAAAGTAAAACTCATTTGAAACATACGTTTAGCACGTTTCTTTACATTTACTTCAACATTACATACAGGTTCAGGTCAACCATCATAGGTGATAGGTGCGTGATTGTGCGATCCCCGCTTTCACCTGGTATTTGGTGTGAGCCCTTTCCAATTGTTAATTTGCGAATTGGATTATTGTTATTCCTGTTTGATGGTATTCATATTTTTGTATTGATATTGGTGCATCTTCGGTTGTTTTCTGGGAATTCAGTACTTGTTTTCCCAGTAACAAAGTTTGGATATCAATTCGAGTTTTATCGTAATTTTTTTGCGCTGATAACGGACATTTTTGCGGAGGTGAAGTACTGTGGCATTATACTCGCCCCAAGGCCGAGTATAATTTATTGTATCTAAACAACATACGCCCAGTCGAAATGGAGACGCCTACGACTTCATTTCCGGCAAGGGATCAGGCTATAGTTCTAAATGCAATTAAAGATTTAAAACTTATTGATTATGTCGTGGCTGTAGGGGATATAGTTGCGCCTAAAAATGTCATATTCGCGTCCCATATGTCGAACGATAGAGTATGTATATATTTAAAAGAAAAATCATATGTTGACTTAATCATTTCAGATCATCAAAATATTGTCGTTAAGGAAAATGTAGTCAGTGTGCGCCGGCTTATAAACCCCGCTAAACGTATTATCTTTTCTAATGTGTGTCCTTCGATCCCTCACAAGATTGTTGAGGATCTCATCAAAAGATTGGGTTTTATCTTAGTATCTAATATATCCTTTTTGAGAGTTGGCATACAAAACAGTGAATATAATCATGTTTTGAGTTTTCGTCGTCATGTTTATGTCCAGCCTAATGATTCAGTTGAACTTCCATCTTCGTTGATATTGAAGTATGATGACACGAACTACCGTATTTTTCTAAATTACGACGACGTTTGCTTTAAATGTAAGCAGGTTGGTCATTTCGCACAAGAATGTCCCTCAACCTCAGGTACTTCAGATACTTTTTCTCCCACTATTTTACAGGCAAATGGCACTTCACTTGAGAAATCGAATAAGAGATCTAATGGGGATGTGGACGAGGACCGTCCCGATGAAGAAGAGGAAATGGAAGGTTTTCAGCCTCTAGATCTGAGTAGAGAGTTATCTTGTGAGGTGGAGAATGTTTTAAGCTCTATACAAACCATAAAAATTAAAACTTGTGACTCCACTGAGAGTTTAACTTCGACCTCTGATTTGATCTAGCCCGCTAAAGATTTAATAGATAACGCCCAGTACCCGCTAAATTTTGAAGAGTTAACCCGATTTGTGGAGAAAGCTGTTGGTGAATTGGATATCTTAGAGTTAATACGAAAATACACGACTGACGTAGAAGGGGTCTCTGCTATGCTATTCGATATTTTTCCGCTGCTTACTCATAATAGCGTCCGCAATCGTATTAAAAAAAATAGACTTAAAATTAAAAAGGCGCTTGCTAGGCTTGCAGATAAAACATCTAATAAAGCTACGGATACTGTGGCTGGCCCCTCAGGCGGTTCCTAATAGGGATTCGATTTCGTTTCTTTTCTTTTCTTTTTTTTTTTCTTTTCAAATTCAGTTTTCAAAATAATTCATCTGTTAAATTTTTTGTTGGCAATTTAGTATACACTAATGTAGCTTCCCTGATGGCAAAATATGACGACTTCTCTGTGCTGGTGCAATCTTTGAAACCGACTTTTATAATGTTGTCAGAGTCGTGGCTAAGCCCTGCGATTCCTGATACATTAGTGGCTATAAACGGTTACACTCTTTTTAGGAACGACCGGGACGGCAGAAGGGGGGGCGGTGTGTGTATGTTTGTAGCGGACTTGATTTGTTCCAGTTTCACAATTAATATCTTAAGCTCGGAAGTCGGCAATAATGAAGCACTATTTCTCAAATTATCGAACAGTAGTATCTCATTTGTGTTAGGATGTATATACAGACCCCCAGACTCTGCAATTGGTGATGATAGAAAACTCTTTACGTTTGTGTCAAAAATTGCCGATAGCTGCGACAGACTGATTATCGCGGGAGACTTTAATTTACCTGACATAACCTGGCCTCTTGATCATAACGCTAATTTTAACGCTCCTTCCCAGTTGTTGCGTGATGTACTGATAAACAGTCATCTAGAGCAAATTATTACTAAACCGACCCGTTATAGAACGAACCAAACACCGTCAACCCTCGATCTAATTATCACCTCGGACGATAAGTTACTAGCAAACTTGGATTATCTGGATCCTGTTGGTAAATCTGATCACGTGGTGTTAAAGGTAGAAGTGCAAATCTGTTTTGAAAGACGAAGGAGGATTACCTCTACTTGTAGGGTTATTACGAATTATGAGCTGGTCAACAGAGATCTGTTCAACACTGACTGGTCCACCATTCTTGTGGAACCATCTGTAGAAGACAATTGGACTAGATTTAAGAAACAGCTTAATTCTGTGGTGACCAAACACACAGTTTCCGTAGTAAGAAAACAGTCTTCAAATAAACAATGGATCACCAAACAGATTCTCAAACTTATTAGAAAAAAAAGGGCGCTGTGGCGATGTTACAAGCGCACTGGTAGTGAGAGTGATTACAAGGCACACAGAGTGTTTTCAAACAAAGTTTCTGCTACTATAAGAGATGCCAGATGCAACTATGAGAAGCGCATTGCTGCTTTAAAAGATGTGAAATGTTTTTACAAATACGTGCGGTCTTCCTTAGTTGGGCCTGTGAAGACCCCTCACCTAAGAGACGTAAGTGGACGTATCACTGAGGATAGTCAATTGGTCGCTAATTTGTTTGGGGATACGTTTGCTAACGTTTTTACAGTTGACACAAATTCTAATCTCCCTACTGTATAGACACCCCCAAATTCCACAACTATTACTTCCGTTGAATTCTCTGAGGTAGCAATAGCTAAAAAGATATCTAAACTGCGCATAACCAAATCTCCTGGACCAGATAGCATTACCGTGAATCTTCTCAAAAAGTGCCAATGTTTGTGCCAACCTTTAAAGATTCTAATGGAGCAGTCATTTGAGTCGGGGACTCTTCCTCTTGAATGGAGGTCTGCGGTGGTGAAACCCATATATAAAAAGGGTGATAAGTTTGTTGCTGACAATTATAGACCTGTCAGTTTAACGTTTCACGTAGTCAAAATCGCTGAATCCATTGTTTATGATGTGTTGATAGAGTTTATGATTAACTGTAATATACTCCCTACAGAGCAACACGGATTTGTGCCTGGTAGGTCTGTTACTACAAATTTACTCTGTAGTCTTGAGGACTGGACCAAGACGCTTGATTCCGGCGAATCAACTGATGTTCTGTACTTGGACTTCTCGAAGGCCTTCGATCGAGTACCTTTGCGACATCTTCTACTTAAACTCAACCATTTTGGCGTTCGTGGAAACCTTCTTCGCTGGATAGAGGCTTTTCTTTCTAATCGGTTGTTCAGTGTTAAAGTGGGTGACGTATTTAGTACGCAGAGAAGAGTGCTGAGTGGAGTTCCTCAGGGATCGGTACTTGGGCCCCTTCTTTTTGTGATCTATACATCCGACATTAAATATTCTTTGAAATCCCCTTTTGTAATGTATGCGGATGACCTGAAGATCTATAATAAGAGTTGCAATTTCACTGTTCTGCAAAATGACTTAGATGTGGTTGCCAATTGGTCGTGTACATGGTTGCTGTCTATTAACTCCGCAAAATGCGTCGTGCTATATACTAATAGTAGCCGAAATCCAAAGCATGATTATCATGTGAATGGCACGCAACTGTTCAAGGTTGACTCTTATCGCGACCTGGGTGTAATGGTGTCATCCTCTCTCTTGTGGTCCGAGAAGTAGTAGTGTGAAGTAGTTAAGAAGGCGAATAGAATTATATTTCTTATTAGTCGGACGTTTAGGGCTATTACAATATCGATGTTCATCAATTTATATAAAACGTTAGTTCGACCAGTTCTAGAATTTGCCAATACTGTATGGGCACCGTCTCTGAAAGGTGATATTGCATTATTGGAGGGTGTACAGCGTCGTGCCACTTGTTTGCCGTTTGGGAGAGTTCGCCCTTCATATGAAGGGAGACTGGCCCTAATGCACTTACCTTCCTTGGCTGATAGAAGGGTAAGGGGGGACATGATTACAACATTTCAAGCGCTTACTAACAACAACTCAGTGATACGGTCCTTTTTTAAGCTAGACATGCGTGGTCGGACAAGGGGTCATTCCTTTAAATTAGTTAAAGGTAACTTTAAAACAACAGCTAGACAGATATACATTGTTAACAGGGTGTTTGGTAAGTGGAATTCTTTACAAACGGAGGTTGTGTTGAGTGACTCGGTTTTAAGTTTCAAACGTAGCTACGATCAGTATAACAAAGTGTAGGTATTAAAGATGCGCGGGCACAACAGGCTTAGGCCTCTGCCCGATCGCAGTTTCATAATAATAATATTAATAATAATAATAATAATTGTATATTTCAACTTATAGGTTTTCTCATAAAAAAATAAAATCCGCAACATTAAATTTTATAGTTTTGCGAAAATGCTACGTTTCATTGTACTCCAAGTGCGAGGGAAGTTCTGTCGAAACAACTTTCGACCATTTTTTTTTATAACTGGAAACGAGCATCTGACATAGATGTTGCTTCAAGAAGTATCCGAACATGCGATATAACATATAGTATAATATGTAATATGTAAAATTTTTGATGAAATTGTTCATACACCATATAATGAATTTTAATTTGGTGATTTCTAAGAAAAACCTTGATCCATGGTTATTTGACCAGTTTCTTAGAGAAATGTTAAAATTTGATTTTGTAGATTTTAGGAGTATTATTTTTACTCCCGAGCATAAGCGAAGGAAGTATTGTAATCGAGTCCGTCGGCCGACTCTCTACTTTTACGTTTTCTCGACTTTTCATGACCGCTAGTTTTTTTTAAAGATAACCCATATAAGTTAAAATGAAAGACTGTGTGGACTATTAAAGTATAGGTAAAGAAGCATCCTCTAAGCGTATGTTTCAAGTGAGTTTTTCCATAACAAAATTTTGTAGTGACGTCATCAATATGTTAGTAAATAATCAAAATTTTTCTGATCATCCTCAACAATGTGATGGCTTCACTTCAAAATTTTATTTAAATTTTATAAAATAACATATTCGTGCATGCATAGTTTATGAATGCGTCTTGATTTTTTACTATAGGCATCTAAGTTAATTCATCTCAAAATTTTATCGAATAAATACTATCTATAATAATATGCAAAATATGTATTAGGAGTCTATACTTGTATTTTGCAGCACTGTTTATTTATATCGGGTGACTGATAAAACGAATGAGGGAATTTATTAATAATTGTCGTTATTATTACTACGAGGATGGTCTGAAAAATTCTCGACCTCGGCCATAAAAAATGAATCTATCACCTTGATTTTTTTTTCCCAAAGAGGCACATCTATTATAAGCTTACATAGTCAATTGCTAAAGATTCTGTCAAAAACTCTTCTTCAAATCGATTTTTGAAACCTACGTGTTATGGACATTCCGCAAAATGGAGAAAATTGAGTATCGGGCCGTAATTGATTTTTTTGTTAAAGCTGGTTAACACCGACCGAAACTCATACAAAGTTTTTAAAGGTGTATGAGGACTCTTCATCTTCATTTTCAACCATTAAGAAATGGGCTGTCGAATTTAAGCGTGGCCGTACAAGCACGGAAGATGACCCACCGGAGGGACAATCAAAAACTGCGACAACGTCGGAAATCGTTCGAAAAGTGTATGATATGGTATTATCTGATCGACGAGTAAAAGTTCGTGAAATAGCTGAGACTATCGGCATCTCGAAAGAGCGGGTATATCACATTTTGCACCAAGAACAGAATATGAAAAAACTCTGTGCAAGATGGGTGCCGCGATTTTTAACGGTGGTTCAAAAACGGATTCGCATGCAAATTTCGGAACACTGTTTAGATCGTTTTAAAGTAAATACAGTTGATTTTGTGCGAAGATTTGTAACCATGGATGAAACTTGGGTTCACCATTTTACGCCAGAATAAAAACAACAATCTAAACATTACACAGAAGCTGGTTATCCAGCGCCAAAGAAGGCAAAGTCCGTTCCATAGGCAGGAAGGGTTATGGCATCGGTTTTTTGATACGCTAAAGGAATTTTACTTATTGATTATCTGGAAAAAGGTAAAACAATAACGCGGGAATATTATGCTAATGTACTAGATAGATTAGATACAAAAATTCGGGAAAAAAGGCCAGGTTTACAAAAAAAAACAATTTTTCATCAAAACAATGCACCTGTGCACAAAAGTGTTATTGCAATGGGAAAATTGAGAGATTTAAAGTACAATTTGTTGGAATATGCGCCCAATTCGCCAGATTTAGCTCCCTCGGACTTTCATTTATTCCCAGAACTCAAAAAATTCCGAAGTGGACAGCGTTTGGGGTCTAATTTTGAAGCTATTGAAGCTGTAGAGGCTTATTTTGCAGACCTTCCAGAAAACCATTGTAGGGAAGGTATAATCGCATCAGAGCATCGGTAGTCCCAGTGTAGTACACTCCAGGGAGATTATGTAGAAAAGTAAAAATAGTTTCAAATTTATAAATGTGTTCTTTCATTGACAGGCCACGAATTTCTCAGACCATCCTCGTAGTATTACACTGCACCTATTCAAATTGATGTACGTGTCTTTGCTGTTGCTGATGTCTCCACAAAATTTTGTATTGGGGAAACTCGTTTGAAACTTACTACCTTTACGGTAGCATATATTTATTTTAACTTGTAGCAGATATCATAGCAAATTAAAATTCGCAAAACCAAATTTTATAATTTTTTGAAAAAGGTAGATATGTTGTACTGTACATAGGAGCGAGGGAAGTTCTGTCTAAATAGCCTTACACCAATTTTAATGGTTATTTTAGTATACCCGTATTACGATTTTAGTTTTACTTCCGGACATAAATTATTTGTTTTTAATGTTTTTACATAAACAGATATGTTTCTGTTCTTATTTGTGGTGTATATATATTTTTTCAGTATGAAGGTACTCCATTCTATCCCAACAATGACAGATTTTGGTTAGTGGCAAAAAAATATAGAGTGAATCAATTTTATACTGCACCTACTGCTATTAGGGCTTTAATGAAATTTGAGGATGAATTAGTTAAAAGGTAAGGCCACTATTATCTCTTATAGTTATAAATAAATGAAATATCGGGTGGGTATATGTAATCTATCATAATCTTTTTTATAAATAAGAATCTAGTAAATACTAAAAATTTCGTCAAAATTTATAATTAACAACTAATATACCAAATTAACCATGATTTTTGTATGATAGAAATTAATTATTATCGTCTACATTTAAATGCGAATAAAATTGAGTTTGTGTTACTTTTATAGGGTAGATTTATCTTCTTTGAAAGTGTTGGGGTCTGTTGGGGAACCAATAAATCCTGAAGCGTGGTTGTGGTATTATAAATTAGTTGGTCGAGAAAAGTGTGCAATTGTGGATACATTTTGGCAGACAGAAACAGGAGGTCATGTTTTGACTCCGCTTCCAGGTGCAACTCCTATGAAGCCTGGCGCTGCTGTAAGTAAAATTTATAATTTTTAGTTAGGAAAATGACACGTTGTTAATTTTTGTACTTTCTTGGAAATAGACAAAAATGAATTAACGAAATCAGAGAGAACTCTGTTTTTTCGTTAACTGCAAGAATAATTAAATAATATACACAAATTTTAAAAGTATAATTATGACCTGAATTTTAAAATAAAAAAAAAACTTTTAATTCACTACTTTGGAGGAATGTTTTGTCTGATAAGCACTATCAGAGCAATTTAATTATTGTAATCATGACATATTAAAAAAAAAAAAATTAAATAAAAACCAAAGACTTAAATAGTTAAATAGCTTGAGGTCCTAGGTCGTACAACCATCACGAATTACAAATCTAGTAGTTTCGACAATTACATATTTATAAAAATTTATTCTAGTCTAGTGAATTACTGTTGACAGCGAACCCAAACAAGTAATGAGAGACACAAATCAATTTTGTCCCACAATGAGTGTCCGATTTCTAAAAAAGAGTTATTGCTTCTATAATATTAATAAATATAACATCTTAAAATAGGCTTTCATGTAATAATGAACATCCTTCATAATTAATTTAAACACTTAATTAAAATTTTGAATTGTATTTTCAGTTTATTCTTATTTATTTTATTCCGTTTTCCTGAATCACGTAAAGGCAAGAAAAGCAACATTAACATGGTAATCTGAACTTTTGGGGTAAAACCAAGAAATGCTACTGAAATATGTGCACAACATTGAAAAAAAAGTTCACAAAAAGGACTGTTCAGAATCAATTTTTTCAACTTTTCGTCACCTCACATCTACATTTATTAAACGTTGCCAGGACTGCCGTCCTCGAGCAAATTACAACGGACAGTTTTCGTTGATACCGAATATCTTATAGCCAAAGATTGCATGACGCAGTGCTTAATCTTCCCATTTACACTTAATTCAAGAATGAGTCGAGTTTGGTCTGTTACATTAGGCATTTTTCTTTGAATTGTGAATTGGAGCAATTGTTTTTATTTCCTGGGCCATATTTTCCCCATACAGGTATTTTAAACAAAGTGTCTTTAAATTCGATTAGAAACAAAGAATTATTGCATTTGACTTACACGAACATCGCTTTAAACAAAACCTCTTAGGCCCGGTTTATAGAAAGGTGAATTAAATATTTAATCCTCGATTAATTTAACACTGGATTAAAATGTAAAATGGGAGCTCGTGATTGGTTAACACATGCACGTCGTCTAGCAACGAACCTCAGTTAAAATTTAACAGTGAATTAACTTTAATTTCGGTTTCTATAAACCAGGTCTTAATCTTTAAAACTGAAGTTAGTATTATTAGCAAAATGCAGAAATTGGGCACTTATTTTGGGACAGATGGATTATTTATTAAGTGGACCCGTGTCGTCTGTGAAGAATAGAGGAACATCATATGTCACTATCGGGAAGGTTCCTTGACCATTGTTGATGGAAATGACATTCATAGGGCTATACAAATTTATTAGTATATTATATTAGTATTATATAGACCTAAGGTAACAATAGTGTCTTTACAGTAAATACCAAGTAAATACCGCTGTACATTGTTTCAAACCAAACTAAAAATTTAATAGATAACAATAAAGAAATGACCATCATTAGTGTTATAAGTATATGTAACTTTAAGGAGAGTGGCGACAATGAAGGTTCTATTTTTTATAGGATTCGCCATTTTGAGGCTAATGCAACCTATGTAAACCTTCCAATGTCAGATATCAGTAATGAACTAGCGTTCAGGCGGTACATTATAATTAACATTAAAATTGACTTGTTAATTGGTGTTGATACACGTACGTGCTTCGATATTTCTGTATCGTAAATTCAAGTGTTGCTAGACATAGTTTACTTGGATTTTACCTCAAAATAGTAGACGATCGGAAAGGAATGCCTTATTATTGTCACTGTTCCCAGAAATATATATACATAGTGACTTTAGTAAAGCTTACCGACTTAAACAAATCTAATCAGTCTTTCATTTTGCAGGCATTTCCATTTTTTGGTGTACAACCTGCTCTTTTAGATGAATCTGGCAAAGAAATCAAGGGAGAAGGAGAAGGCTACCTTGTTTTTGCTAGACCATGGCCAGGTATAATGCGAACTCTGTACAACAACCATCCTAGATATGAGACTACCTATTTTTCAAAATTTCCGGGATATTATTGTACAGGAGACGGTAAGATATGGTAAACATCAAGAACAATAATATCTTTTAATAAATGATAATTTAAGGAGCAAGACGAGATGCTGATGGTTATTTGTGGGTAACTGGGCGTGTTGACGATATGTTAAATGTATCAGGTCATCTAATGTCAACTGCAGAAGTTGAATCGGTTTTAACGGAGCACCCTCATATAGCCGAAGCAGCAGTTGTCGCTAAACCTCATCCCGTTAAGGGAGAATGTCTGTACTGTTTTATTACTACGACAGACAACGCTAGTTTTAACGATAAATTGCTAACAGAACTAAAGCAGTTGGTACGTGAGAGAATAGGACCTTTTGCGCAACCGGATGTAATTCAAAATGCTCCAGCGTTACCTAAAACTAGATCCGGAAAAATAATGCGGAGAATTCTGAGAAAAGTGGCGGTAAATGATCGAGATGTTGGGGACGTCAGTACATTGGCTGATAGTAGTGTTATTGAAAGTTTGTTCGCAAACAAACCTACAAATGCTTAAATAAGCATGTTTTATTGTTTGTCTTATATACAATACAATAACTTCAGAATGACAATGAGTCGTATTAATAAACTGTAGTAAACGATTTTAATTATATTAATTTTGCTTCTTACAATGTTATAAAATTTTCCATGATTCTATATTTTCGCTATTAAAATAAAAGCATTTACTATGGTTTATAAATATTACCCACATGTGCAATAAGTTTAAGGAGTCATTTGCTTCACCTCTTTTAGGTTTTTAGATAATTCAGTAATTTATTTAGTGGTTGTATTGATACATGTATCTGTCATTAAAAATTCAGTGGTAAATGGACCCAATATTGATAAGAAACATTTTCAAGTTTTTTCTCGTGCAATAAATTTTTAGAAACACTTTTAGTTTTTGCGTAATTGTTAATATGTATAGTGACAAAGAAATTATTGTTAGTTGCACATATTTTTTACCTACCTACTTATTTTGTTTAACATTACTTAATTTCAGGGTTTCAGATAAATGCACTACTGCACCATCATAAAGAATGCGTAAATAATGAAAGCTCAGAGATGGTAGTGGTTTTAATAGTGGTGACATAAGTAGAACTATTAATAATAGATTTTTTCTTTAATTTTTCAAAGTATTATTTTTGGATATTTTTCCCCTCGATATGATTGGTTGTGAGATGAAGGGGTAATCATATTGTTGTTTACTTCAACGGTTGTAATGTGAACCTGTTCCGCGCTTAATTTAATATGTTACAAGTATGACGCTATAGCTTTGACTTCGTGACTCATTAGACTTGTATTTTTTAAAATGTTATGTATATGCATCTTTTTAAAAGTGGCCATAGGGATTCCCATGTTAAATTTTAGACCCCATGTTAGCTTTTGTTAAGGTGAAAACCCCGAGATGATTTTTGAGGTGGAAATAGCCCTAGGGTTCTATTTTTAATTTCCACTACCACTATTTGTTAGTTTGTGCTTTATAAAAAGTAACATTATTTTTGTTAAAAATTTAGGTACATCATAGAATCTTTTGAATTTTAATTTGTGATATTGACAGAATAATTTTAAGTTAATTATTATTTAACACCTCCATTGCACTTTTTAGAAAAGAAACAGGATGATGGAATTCAAATATAAATGAAGAAAATAAAAGATAAATTCATTGAAATTGCGTTTTGGATGTCCACGATCGAGATACGGTGCATTTATAAATCTGACATAAAATTTTTGAATTATTCTTTTGCCGAGTGTGGAAATACTCCAGCAAAATTTTGGGCAATTTCTCTTGTCGATGTATTCCGTGACTATTTCCACTTCTTCTTTAATTCTGTACTGAAGCATGTTGACGAATTTCGGTTAGTAAAACCCAGTGATCGAACGAGTTATCAAATTTTAGAAACGTTAGGTAAATGCTTGTTTTTACATGGGTGCTTAAATATTACCGACAAATATTCAAATATTTTTTTTAAGAAATATTCTTTAATTTAATTGGCAAAAGATTACCCAAATTTCATCCAGTAAAAATTTCAACTCTGAATCATTTTACTTAAATATTAGTTAACATGGGCTATAGAATGTAACGGATTTTTAGATCATTACCTATATTACAATTAGCAACGATATGATATAAAACACTAATGAGTGTTCTTTTATTTCTCTACTCTTATACACGGCTTAAATGACTTAAGCAGAGTTAGTCAAATCCGAAATGATGAGAAATCAATCAGTTAAATATAAAATACGACGGCGCGACATCAAGCGATAACTTTGACTGGTCAACTGTGCAGTCTCAAACTCATTGAAAATTGTGGTGTTAAATGGTCATTTTTAATTTTTAAGGCAATTTTTGCATCTACGAGAATTCGTATAGCTGAGGAAAACTTGCAATGAGCATTATACTCAGACTCTTGTACGGAGTCTGCCTCAGGCGTCTATTGACTTCCACTAATTTTTAACGTAACTAAAGACCCTTGTAAACTTGCCATAGTCGAGATGGACCGTAATTAATATTTTACTTCCTCTTGTCTTGTTAAAGCTCGTTTACTGTCGTCTGAACTAACTCGGTAAATTAGCCTTTACACGCACCCTGCCTGTAAAGCGTTACCGTGGCAGCTTTACAGGCACCGTGCCTGTAAAACGTTATCATGACAGCACCGGAATCAAACACACATTCGCTGCGTCGGCCTTTTTCTTAATCTCACTAATACTGTGCTAATACTAACGTTAAAATCACCTTCAAACTCTTCATCTTCATCGAATTCCACAATTAACAGAGCTCAGAAACAAAATTAAACCATTTAAATTATTAATCGAATTTACAAATTGACAGTCGCGTTATTTTCAAACAATTCAATTTTCCATAGTTACCGGAGCAAACAATGGAAAATGACTATAATTTCTATGACTGTAATTTCAAGTAAAATTTCTAGAGATGCCAAAGTTGTTCATTTTCAGGATTTTCAGCAAGAGGAAGTAAAACGTTGTACGCGGCTCGCTTGCAACTAGCCTTTACTGGGGCTCACCGGATTACAGGACTCGCTCCTACGTCGCTCGCCCTGCAAACATTCCGGCTCGCCCGTAAAGGCTAATTTACTAAGCTTGCCACGTAAATAACTATTACTGCCATTTGTATTACTCGGGGTGGGGGAAGTTAAGCCCTCATAAAAATTAGTGGAAATCAATAGACCTCTGAGGCAGACTCCGCACAAGAGTTCTGGTCAAAGTATACTTCCGTGATGCCGAAGCCTTGAGGTAGCCATATTTTTAACTATACGTTTTTCACTGGATGATTACAAATGAGCCTGAGATTTTTTTCTTTTGAAAAATGCGATTTGGTAACATAAAACGTTCACTTATCAAAAAAACCAAACATTTATTGACAATTTGAAAATAAACAAATACTTGTACATGTTTATGCTTATAACCAAGGTTTCCAATTATTCACAAATTATTTTTTTTTAATTTTTCAAAAAAGTAGGATTTGTTGAATTGTATACTTCAGGGGCAAAGAAAGTCCTGTCGAAATAACAATGTTATTTTTTTAATCCTTAAAAATTATTATCGATTTTTGTAAGAAATGACAAAGCAATTGAGGGGTCACTCGACCCTTCTTACTATTCAAAATTTTTAGGTGGGGCGCGGCTGGGGTCAAGGGGGCTACGTGGCAAGGTCAAACTTTACATCAAATATGTGGCCAATTCAAAAAATTCACCAGTTTTTGGGTTTTTGCGAAATTAAAGCAACTTCGATTTATTTAGGGTGGCTCCTAAACTAAAAACCAGTATCAATCTAATCTGTTTATCTGTATTTTAACAACTGCTACAAAAATACGATTTCAGCATTTTAGTTAAGTAGCATATTTTTTAAGCTTTTTCTAACAAAATAAGTGTAGTCCCTTTGTCCTGGTAGTGTTAGCTCCGATCAAATTTCCAAAACCCGTTTTTATCGTGAAGGATAGGTATACCGAGACATATGAAAAGAAGCATGGGCTTAAACCCTATGTTTAGTTTTAAAATACACGCTTGAATGTTATACAAGGCTCCTTGATTAAAAAAAATAAATATCACCTTATTAAAATTAATGTCGTAATGGTAGTTTATGTAAAAGTAAACCTATCTTATTTCTACCGAAAAATTTTCTGGCCAAAAATTTCAGTATTCTAAAGAATTTTTGTATTTTACGATTTGTAACCACTTTCAAAAGTAAAATAAATTTTGTTGTTTCTTTTTACACAATTTTAGAATAAGAAAATGCTTTAAATATGCCTTGTAATTGTAACTAAACATATCATATTGCTCTTGTATGTATGTGTATAAAAATTTATATATATATAAATAGAGTGAGTAACCACACGTGGTCCTCGATATTTCGTGAATCGTTTTTAGAGATAGAAATAAATAAAATATTACAATTTTCAAATACGAAATTTCAGTTCTTTTAGAAACAACACCCTGTAACTTATTACTGCATATTATTCATATTTTTCTCTTTCTTTCTGTATGTTGATGTATCTCCTAAAAAAACGAAAAATTGCAGAAATTATCAACTTAAAATACAGAAAATATGTAACACAACACAAAAAAAAATAAAAAGCAGTAAAATGCGATAATAAAATAACAGCGTTCTATTTAAAAAAACTGAAATATAGATATTTGAAAACTGTGATATTTTAGAATTTTTTTTTAAACATGCTAGTTATTAAGATTCAATTTAATTTACCACACAACAAAGCGTTTTATTTATCTCTCCACAAAATAAACAGGGTTTAAAAATAACCTTAGGTACTGTGATTTGTTTTGTGAATCCTTGCACTACTAAAAAACATCAAGAAAATTAGAATATCCGGGCATTATCGTATGGGAATTAAAACAATAAATAATGTTCTCAACCTTCGGAAAAAGCCAGTGATAATATATAAAAATATGTTGGTGTTCTATTAACAAAAAAAAAAAACTAAGTTGCGTGTTATGACTTAAAAACAGAAGACTCTGTATAGTTGAAGATGTATGCTACTCAATGGGTCGTACAGCTTAAGTCTCTGATTATTTTTTCCATCATATAATTAATTAATGAGACGCGCGTTTAGTGGCTCACCTGTAATATAACTGGGTCTAAAAATATTAAAAATCGCCAATAGCGCTCTGTTCAGAAAAAATGCTTAGTGACATTATATTTTGTCAATATATTGATAATTTAATTTACTCGTAAATTTCACTGATTTTTCATAAGAACTAACTTTGTATTATTGATTAAATATGTTAAAGGTTTAAAAATTAGAAGAAATGGAAGCGTAATAAAATTGTGCATAAATAATGAAGTGAGGTATGATTTAAATTAATGATTTCAATTATCCCCATAGTTGATATCACGATAATATTATGTTTTTTTTTAATTTTTACATGTAGGTGCGTGTATAGACGTAGAATAGTGGAAGTATCAGTATGTATACAAAGAAACCTGCATAAGACGGCCCATGGAAAATCGGGAAACTGTCTATAACGAAAAATGTTTATAGTCCCGAATTGTTCCATAAGTATAACGTGTAAAAATATTTGTACAAATGCGGAAACTGTCTAACGCGAACACGGAAAATTACGTCAGGTATAAAAAAAACCATGACTGAAATAAACCTGCACAATTAGGGCGTTTACGACATTGTTGTAACAACCAGTGAATTGCACGACGTGGAAAATCAGCGGGTTCCAAAGCTTCCACTTTTTGGACGTGGCATGGATGTAGGCCTTGTTCTTTTAACGTACGATGCACAATAAGCTGCGAAACTTCAACTTCAGCTGCAAGTGCTTGTGTCGGGCTCTTCTTCGACCCGTTCCAAAAATTGTTCTTCAGCTTGCAGTATTCTTTCTGTCCTATCGTCAGTTCGAGGCTTGAATGTACCACGATCTTGGATTTCGAACTGACATTTGCGGCGATTATGACATTGTTACATCCGTAATATGTTCAAGGTTATATCGGTTTCTGTCCATTCAGCCAAAAATTGAAAACTGTTAAATCTGGCAATTTGCTTTAAAAAGGGTGAGCTGATCGCCTTTGCATGAGATGTTTTCTTGCCATGATTACATTTTGTTGTTCATTAAAAAAAATTGTGTGAACATTCAGAAAAATGATGGATTTAGCTGACGTATTGCCCGAAAATGTTAAAAATGTAGGCAGTCAAGCATTTGTTTGAATAAACAATGGTTTTCACATTCATTGCTTTTCAATTCCTTGACAGATGTTGACAATTGCCATTTCGGTAAGGTAATATTACCTTACCCATTTTACATACAGGATACAGTTTTGGCTTTCCGACCAGCCAACTTTTATAAATTTAAACAGGCATTTAATAGACAGAAACCAATAAATACTATTACGAAGTGTTTATAATGTTTTACACAATTTAAATATGATGCTTACAATCATGGTACAAGTATTGTCTTGTACCATGCTTACAATAATGTAGGTGAATAAAAAAGCATAATATTAAAGGATACAAAATAGGTATATGTAAAATTATGTCACGACTGGGGTGTTCTAAGGGGCTGGTCGAGCGGGGCAAAAAGGCCCAGTTCGTGGTTTTATGTTTTCATGTTGAGATCCCAATACAATTCAACTAAGACTACAGCTTTTCTGGGAGAAACATGTCACAGGTCACTTTTCTCTTCTTGCCACACCCCGACTATCGTTCCCCCCGCTCTCGTCAACCCCACGAAGCCCCTGCAGTGTCAACAACTATTCCTACTGTCGGTATGTGTTGACACTACATGGCCTCAATGGAGTCACATCGTGAGCAGGGTGTTTGGCAATCCTATTGTAACTAGGTTACGTATTTACGTATCTGTGACAATATTATTTTATTCAAAGAAGACTGTACAGTCCATGTATATTTGTAGGTACCCAATTGTATTTAAAAACATATATCGAACATGGTACCCAATTGTATTTAAAAACATATATCGAACATGAAAATTATGTGCCGTTCTACAAATGGATATTTACATGTGTGTAACAATTAATTATCACAATTACTTAATTGAGATTTAGGGTTTTATTTTTGAAATGTCCACATACTTATATAAATATATCTGACAAGTATATGTATTGTATATATATTTCTTTGTAATCTATACACATTAGAACTTATTTATTACTGTAAATAGACAGAGAAAATAGATGAATTGTTAAATATGTATTATGTATGCATTAAAAGACCCATAATAAATTTTGAAGTTATTTATTATCAATAACGTTCTTGCCTAAAACACATTGCAGAAGGTAGCACATTTAACATAAAATACGTATAAAAACAAAAACTACACCAAACATATATTTTTAACTTTATCCCCATTGTAACATTTTTTTTTAACCCAAATATGTCATTGTTTCCAGTGACATTTTAGTTGTTTGTCGTGAATTTCGTGAAGCCGATCTTACAATAACGTACGTTTTTTTAAGTCCACCTCCTATTGCCTTCTGTTGGTAACATAAAATTTCCCCTATCAATCTAGTATTTTTGTGCAGTAACAGTGGCAGAACCACAAATTGTTGATGACACAAGTTGATGCACTTCTGTCAAGCGAAAACAGAATTTTACGCAAGCGCCAAGAAAATGCATAATTTAAACATGCCTCGCAAAGAAAATGGTTCTCGTATCAAGCCCTGGGTTAATGAAAACAACAGATTTTAAAGTAAGACAACTAGAAGGTACCAGAAATATCACAAAACAAGTAACTTAACCTAACCTTAGTGTCGTTTTCCACTAAAAATTGGTCTAAAGAGTTTAGACAGTACTTCCCTCGCTGTCGGAAACTTGACGACTGCATGCCTATTGTGTTTTTTTTTCTCATTACATTTTTGTAGTGGGAATTTAAAAAAAAAATGTGATGACGTCATCAACATTTTTGCAAGGACACGTATATCAGTTGGGATAGATGTAGTGTAATACTAAGAATAAAATTATTGTATTCCCAAATTTTCGGGAAAATGAATTGGGTCGTTTTGAATATTGATTTCTTATAATCAATAAAATAACGAAACAATTTACTCAGGTATACGGCGCCGGTGTGTAATATCTAGAGAGCGGATTTCTGTCGGGCTAGGCAAGGCCAAACTCGGTACGGCTCGTACGGGATGCGAATTCATTGCCGTTGCGGACTGCACTTCGTTTATTTGAGATTAGAATAACGCTGTTTCGTTGCACTCTGCTGTTAATTCCCGTTCTCATTTACTTAGTCGTTTGATTAATAAATCGTTAATTATATTTATGGAATTAGTACCGATTAAACGTGACGTAGCCCGACAAAAATCCGCTGTCTGGTAATATGAAAGGCAACTGAAAATCGTTTATGTATAAACATTCTTAATTTAAGATGACAAGCGTAACAGCATACGTGAGAGTCAAACAGAGAAACTGTAAACAAAACGACCATCGGTTTTATTGCTACGACTTCCGCTTATTATATAAAACATTGGGTTTTATTTTAATTCTTGACGGTGAAATTCACAATTGGTTGATTATAAACATGTCTATTCCACATTCGCGGAACCAAGTGAACGCATAAAACAAATGCAGGTCTGTAATGTTAAAGTCGATGTAAATAAGCGTGCTACCCTTATGTTTCAACCGAGTTTTTCCTTTAACAAATTTTGTGTCTACCAAATTGGGTTGGTTGGGGTGTAATACTAATAATAAGTGTTGCCTTTAATTTAATCAATAAAATAAATTGACTTCATTAATTTTTTTGAACCACCTCTTAAGAAAATCTAAAAAATATGAATGGAATGATATATCACAAGTACAAACTCATCATATTTTTTGCATTTTAGATAGGATTTATTCAGCAAAATTTAAGGGTGACGTCATCAATTTTTTTAGGAGGAAATACATTTTGAACAAAAGTTTACCATCCTTATAATAACTTTAAAATATTCCCAAGATTTCAAAGTATTCGGTTTTGTAATTCCTGATTAAATCGATAAAATAAATTCACGCCTTCATTAATTTTTTTGAGTCACCCTGCATATGCAAATCCAAAAATATGAATGGAATGATAAATCACAAGTACAGACTCATCATATTTTGTACATTTTAGATACGATTTATTCGGCAAACTTTTGAGCTGACGTCATCAGTTTTTTGTAGAAGATAACCAAATATATTTTGACTAAAAATTTATTATGCTCTTTATAACCTTAAAACATCGACAAGATTTCAAAGCATTCGGTTTTGTAGTTCCTGATTTAATCAATAAAATAAATTTACGCATTCATAAATTTTTTTGAGTCACCCTGTATATGCAAATCGAAAAAATTTGAATGGAATGATAAATCACAACAAGAGACTCACCATATTTTGTACATTTTAGATAGGATTTATTCAGCAAAATTTTGTGGTGACGTCATAAATTTTTTAGGGGGAACGACCAAATACATTTTGATCAAAAATTTACCATGCTTATGATAATTTTAAAATATCTTCAAGATTTCGAAGCATTCGGTTTTGTAGTTCCTGAGTAAATCAGTAAAATAAATTTACGCTTTCATTTATTTTCTTGAATCACCCTGTATATGCAAATCCAAAAAATATGAATGGAGTGATAGATCACAAGTACAGACTGATCATATTTTGTACATTTTAGATATGATTTATTCGGCAAATTTTCGAGCTGACGTCATCAAGTTTTTGGAGGGGATAAGCAAATATATTTTGACTAAACATTTATTATGCTCTTTATAACCTTAAAACATGTGCAAGATGTCAGAGCATTCCGTTTTGTAGTTCCTGATTAAATCAATAAAATATATTTACGCATTCATTAATTTTTTTGAGTCACTCTGTATATGCAAATCCAAAAAATATGAATGGAGTGATAAATGACAAGTACAGGCTCATCATATTTTGTACATTTTAGATATGATTTATTCGCCAAACTTTCGAGCTGACGTCATCAAATTTTTGGAGGGGATAAGCAAATATATTTTGACTAAACATTTATTATGCTCTTTATGACCTTAAAACATCTGCAAGACTTCAGAGCATTCGGTTTTGTAGTTCCTGATTAAATCAATAAAATATATTTACGCATTCATTAATTTTTTTGAGTCACCCTGTATATGCAAATCCAAAAAATATGAATGGAGTGATAGATCACAAGTACAGACTCATCATATTTTGTACATTTTAGATATGATTTATTCCGCAAACTTTTGAGCTGACGTCATCAAGTTTTTGGAGGGGATAAGCAAATATTTTTTGACTAAAGATTTATGATGCTCTTTATAGCCTTAAAACATCTGCAACATTTCAAAGCATTCTGGTTAGCAGATTAAAAATTCAATTTCAAAATGTTGTTTTATAGTTTTGATTTTTTTTCCAAAAATCTGGACGTTTCGGGTGAAAAGTCGATTCAGAGTTGTAAACTACATGTGTAGGACTATGTTATTTTATACAATTGAAAACCCATTTACTATGTACAATTTTGAAGTGACGTCATCGCATTAGTGGTGGGGATGATTAGACAAATTTTGGTTAGCGTTTTACCATCTACATGATATTCTTAATATAAGTACAAAATTTCACAACAATCGGTCGAGTACTTTCGGAGATTATCTGTCTAATAAAAATCCGGGACGGCAGACGGACAGACAGACGGACGGACAGACGGACAGACGGACAGACGGACAGACGGACAGACGGACAGACAGACGGAAATGGGAGACCTATTTCTTCGTCTTCTAGGGGTCATGAAAGATCGAGAAAACGTAAAAGTAGAGAGTCGGCCGACGGACTCGATTACAATACTTCCTTTGCTTACGCTCGGGAAGTAAAAAATTGCAGCCATGGTGCAATTTCTGTTATTGGAAGAAATTGCTACGGTGGTGGACTTAAAAAAACATATTTTATTTGGCTGATATTGTTTATCATCTCCATCTACGTAGACATACAATTTTCAAATTTAATTTTCTTATGTTTACTTTTTACTTCCCGAGCGTAAGCAAAGGAAGTATTGTAATCGAGTCCGTCGGCCGACTCTCTACTTTTACGTGTTGTCGATCTTTCATGACCCCTAGAAGACGAAGAAATAGGTCTCCCATTTCCGTCTGTCTGTCCGTCTGTCCGTCTGCCTGCCGTTCCGGATTTTTATTAGACAGATAATCTCCGAAAGTACTGGACCGATGGTTACGAAATTTTGTACATATATTAGGAATATCATGTAAATGGGAAAACGCAAACGAAAATTTGTGTAATCATCCCCACCACTAATGCGATGACGTCACTTCAAAATTGTACATAGTAAATGGGTCTTAAATTGTATAAAATAACATAGTCCTACACATGTCGTTTACGACTCCGAATTGAGTTTTTACCCGAAATTTTTTTTGGAAAAAAAATCAAAATTATAAAACAACATTTTCCAATTTGATTTTGAATCTGCTAATCCGAATGTTTTGAAATGTTGCAGATGTTTTAAGGCTCTAAAGGGCATGATAAATCTTTAGTCAAAATATATTTGGTTGTCCCCTCCAAAAACTTGATGACGTCAGCTC